TGGCGATACGTGGGTGGGTACAATTTACCCCCATTCCTACCACACACATCTATCTTTACCTCACTGGGATAAGGCGCATAGGGCTTTGGTTTGGGGCCACCTTATTCTTACTGTGCCAGTCATTTGTATTAGAAAGCGTCCTGGCCTGTTTCTTTACTTCTGTTTTGGTTAGTTTCCAGATCTTACAGTAATACATCATAACTTGCTTTAAACAATTGAACTTAAGTCTTCCTGCCAATCTCACTGGTGCCCGAAATTTTTTGCGTCCTGTAGACTATCTATCTAGCTCTACTTAATCTCTGCTTTATGTCCCTCGTCGCCCCACTCCCTTTATCCAACAGTGTTCCTCGGTCCTCCCAATGAACAAATTAAGTCAAGGTCTCATCGGAGGATGGACGCAAAAACCCTATTTGCGAGTAATTATGTTCTGTTTTTTTTTTGTTTTTTTTGTTTTTTTTTCAGATCCACACCAGCGTCAGGGCGAATCCGAGATGGGTAACTTAATTCCCCTCAACAAGAAAATGTCCATGATGCAGAATTTTCTGGATTTAGAAGAAAGACTCAAAGACTTAACAACTGATCTACAAAAGTTGAAAGAGGAATTTGCCAGTACTATCGCACACATGGACACAGCCAGAACCCATCGTCAATTCGATGACGAAGTTCCAAACAAGAAAAGTTCATTCTTTAGCTTGTTGAATGGAAAAAGTAATAATACGGAAACTGTACTTTAGCATTCCCAATATTTAGCTATCAATCTAAGTCCGCATTTCCTTTACTGCGGGCTAAACTTTGACTAATAACTAAGTATTCCCTGATTCTTTGCGTGATAGAGAAGGTACTTAATCTGCTGCACTGAAACTGGGTAAACATGGTTCGAATAGCTATTTTTACTTTTTTAGCCTGAAAAATTTACAACATTGACATCCATCACCTCGCCTTTTCAACTGAAGTTGACCGCTTCAGTATAAACCCCAGTTTCTAATATCATCTGAGAGAAACTTTCCTTCGCACGACTAATAAATTCCGATTGACTGTTTTTTGTATCATTTACATCTTAGCGAAAAGTACCCCAGGACTGGGGCAAATGTTCAAAATTTATAGACAAGATTTGGTCGGGTAACATGCCTTCCAAACCAGAAAAAAGGAAGTTATATTCAACTCCCCTTCCATAAATGTATTTTTGAAGTTAACTTGAGTGACTATAGAAGCATATTTTTTGTAACAGTAGATATGCTCTAAAATTGAATCATGTTTACAATATTCAAATATCATTAACGTAACTACTTTATAGTGAAGAAATAGTATATCAGTATCAGTAATACAATGTTAAGCGATATTATAACACAGTAGTGTAATGAACAAGCCAAAAACTTAGCAGTCACTGCCAATCAAGATGTGATCCGGTAACGCGGCTTGACAACAAGTTAGCGTGGAAAAAGGAATAGTGGTGTGGTTAATGTGCCTATGTTAAAAATACAGGAGTATGACTCCAGAACGTGAATTTCTGAATATGACTATTAACATAATCAGACTTTAAAACAGTTTCTGCATAAATCTTGCGGCAGCGTTAATGGCAACATTGTTCAAATTTTTAAATGCACTTTTGTTTTATGTACAAAATATATATAAAGCAATTCTTGTCCCTCCGATGGCTTTGCTGTTTGCTGTTTATAAGATAAAATGTTTAAAGTCGTATGGTGACAAAAACTCAGAACGACGCAATCAATAATTATAAATTTGCTGTAAATTTTATTTTAGGCGTATGTTGTAAATGAAATGACATTTTAGAATCAATTAGAGTCAAACTTGAAGTTTCCCAATATCAGTGCCTATGTACATTATGAGAGGCACAGCGACCTGATGGATGCTTGAAAAATTGAACGCTGGGCAAAGTGCAAGACATTTTACCCTCATATTACCTTTCTTGCATCCAGTGGCCTAAGAGGGTGTCGATGAACTGTTAGAGCACCTTAACAAAATGCTTGAAGGGAGGGTGCAGCGATGGATTAACATCCCGTTTTAGAGGGGAACAACACTCCTTCAAACTGTTGCAACAACAACAAAAAAACTAACAACATCTTTAGAGCAGTTTTCAACAGAGTGTCGTAACACCAAAACAAAACCATTTACCCACCAATTAGACCACTCAGCTAATCTCAAACCGTAATAAAACCAAAACCAAACCAGTTGCTTACAAATTAGATACTCAGACAATCTCAAATCGTAGTAAAACCAAAACAAACCGAAGTTGTTGTCGGATTACTTTAGACACTCAATCTTCTCATTGCAAGTATCGTTACAGCTACAGAATATTTAAATTCAGGACAGGTTGTTCAAATGAGGTGACTAGTGTTGTAATCATTTGTTTTTAATAACGCTGGAAACTAAATCTCTAAATGACCCGCTAGGTTTTCGAGTTATAGCCCCCAGCCTTGTTATGTCTACTTGAAGGACAGGAGAGATGAAGGAATAATTTACAGTTTGAGCTACTCTCAGC